ATGATACCTTTTTGCCACTTCTTGAAGTTTTTTTATAATACTTAAGACATTATTATTTTCTACTGGTTCATCATGAATGGAAGAATTATCATTATCATGAAAAAAAAGTATTATCAATATTAGGATCTTCAATATCATCACAGTCTTTCAGCTCATTATGGGAAGAAGTATCATTAATATTAGGATAACTTTCAAAATCAAATACATTATTAATATTAATATTACTTCTGGCATACTGACGCTTAGCTTTTTTTGCTTCATAAGTTTTTTTTAGGTGTTTTTGCCGTTTTGTAAGACATGGCATATTAGTAAATTGGAAGTCTTTTCTAATGAAATTTAGTTAATAAATAACAGAGTATTACCATACAGACAAGTTAACTGTTTTATTACTTAATTAATATCGATTTTTTATAAGGAAAAAAAAAGATTCTAACTACAAATTACATAAAGTAAAAAACTTATAGTCGTATTAAAAAAGCAAAATTAAGTTATATATGCTATTTACCAATCAATTAATATATTTAATATCATGAAATCCGTTCGAATCCCAAAAGTTGAAATCCTGAAATCTATTTATTGCATCCTATATGCAATCATATTTATCATACACCTTTCATAATGTGGACCAATATTAATATGACAAATAATTTTGATTTCGGGATTTTATATTAACTTAATACTGCAATGATCCAATAAATACTGAAACATTTTAAAATATGCTTTTAAGCGTCTTAGCTGATAATATCTTCATTAATTATAAATGCTACAATATACAAATATGAATTCTAATTATGATTCCAAACTATTTTTTCACGTGACATGTATATGCACCAATAAAATTACGAGATTTCTATCACGTGATAAATGATCGACATTCAAATTTGGCCGCTTAAAAAATTTTTGGTTGGGACTAAGTTGTATGCACTGTAGAACGATTAAATAATATGCTATTTATTATAAAGTCACCCCCCTGAGAAATCGGATTACGTTACACGAGTCAAAATGTATATTAATCTTTGCGTAATCGTTAACATAGTTAACGATCAAAAAATATATAAATATATAAATATATATTTTAATATATTGAAATTTATTAAAATTATAATTTCATAAAATAATATATACACTATCTCATTAAATAAACATTATTATTACACAAAATATCACTGCCGATATTTAGGAAATTTAAGCATTGTTCATTAACAAACAGGCATTCTTTTGCTTAATACGAAAACCTTATCATCATCTCTTAAATATACATTATACCTAGGACAGGTATAAACATATTTAGTTGATTTTATATTATCATTGGAAGTTTTCATTTTCCTAGTTCGATACAATCCTAAAGGTATAACCTTTTTTTCTTCCAAAAAATATTTAAATAATGCACCATATTGAAATCCAATATATGCCTGTGGAATAGGGATTTGAAAACAATGTGAATGAGCAGGTGCAGGACATGTAGCCCCAGAAGGTAGGTGTAATGGAGGAGCGCCAAAAAGTAACTGATGAATTATCGCTACGAGGTGTGGTTGATAAAATGATTGACAGATAATACTATCCAACATAGATAAAGTAAAACATGTACCAGCCATAAAAGCTGGTGAATGATGTGCTATAACAAGTAGATAAATGTACATTACATTATTTAGTATTTTAAGTAATTTTTCTCGAGAAAAAAAACGTGTAAATTTATCAAAGTACCTCGCATGTTCTTATCGATTGCTGATGCGTCCTCAGACATAAATTTCATATTATCCATATGAACAAATTCTACAAAAACATCAATGTCTGCCTTACACATAGCCTTAATGTTCAAATAGACTAACATTGACGATGCGTCTTCTGTTTTTTCTCCATTCCTATTGAAATTATAAAGAAATCATGAGATGTATAATCAAGGGCACGCAAGTCGTAAATAAGTAAAATGTATACCTTAAAATTCTGGTGGAATCTGTTAAAATGACCTATAGATAATAAAATTTTTTTGTCGTTTGTTAAAAATTATAAGTCAAGGAATTCACAATCAAAGGTATACATACAGCTTGTTTAGCGTGTTTCACTCTTCCAAGTTCCAATCCTTCTCTTGTCATTGGATTTCCTTGCACGAAATAAACTTGATCAAATTGACTCAGAATTTTCCATTGACTTTGACTTGGCCTTACCAATGATAAAATTACTATAGGAGTTATCTTCTCTAAGTAAGACTTACGTAACGGGCTAACGAAACAATCAAGATTACGTGGAAATATGGTTGGTGAATAATCACATAAAAGAATATGACCGGTGAAAACATCAACAATAGAGTTTGGATGTTCAACATCGTGTGCGAGAGAGGCACTGGAGGAAATAGGATCGATGGTGTGATGATGTGAAGGATGATGACGAGCTTGATGTTCATCGTTTAAAGCAAGAGGTGTTGACAGTGCACGATGACGACGTGAAACTGAAGAATCAGGTCTATGTGGATACTCATGCTGCCCATCAGGCGTTGTAGCTGGACCTGCTTTTTTTTTTAAATCAAAATATCCTCCGCCTGAATTGTTTTTAAATCCATCAGCAGATAATAATGGTTGTCTTTCTGGTGGGACTTGCCCATGTCTTTCAGGTGATATAACACTACTTCTTGGATTTCCATTATGACCTTTATAAGAAGAAACGCCATCTGCTATAGAACCATCTAATGCAATGACGAATCCAATCTCATCACCTTTCACAACATAATCCCCAGGATTTATTAAAACCATATAATTTTTAGAATCTTCCTCCTCTTCTTCCTCATTTTGACCATAAATCCAATGATTTGTATACCTGCTAATTGAACGTTGTTTTGGAATCCCAATAGCAAACAAAACTACACCCAAACTTTCATAAAGCCGCTCTATAATTAAATTTATATAAAAAATACATATATTTTATAAGTAAAATTTTCATCTACCTTGTAATGCTACTTGAATTACATCTTACCAGCAACAGCTAGGAATGTTTTTCCTGAGAAAAATTCGGATAAAGTGGTCGTATATATTGATTGTGAAAGCCCAGTAACATAATCTTCAATAGTGTCAGTGTCAATACATTCCGAATCTTTCATTTTCTTGGATCTAGCTCTTAACTCATGTGCAGTTTCAAATGTAAACGAAGTAGTTAATCCATACAAAAGAGTCGAGAAACCGGGAGTAAGACATGAATGTGCAAGAATAGCAAGTTTTAACTCATCGATACATATTATTTGTTCGGGATCTTATTAAGGGATAAAGAAATCGTTTCAATAAAAATAATAATAATTCATGTTTAAAGAAATACAACGAATGATAACCTACTTAAGCTCTCAAAATGAACTTTATTCTCTGGCAAAATGCATTGAATATAAAGCTTCGGTCCCTGGTCGAATTTTCTCAATGCCTATCAAATGAAAGATAAATTTAAAATGTAAAATAAATTTGCAAATAAACAAAATTAATCTTGACACTTTCTACGTACGATTGCTTTCAATACATTCTCTGCATCTATTATTTCACTTTGTTGAGTATATTTTTTGGCTAAAATAAAATATGCAGACGCATGTTTTGCATTAGACTTTTCAAGACTACGCGCCTCAAGTGAACTCCCACGAATATATTGTACGCGATGTGCAAAGACGGGATCAGAAAGGAATGTTCTCACGCGATCTGTAGGATCCATAGGGTTTAATATCACCACCTTTCATTTTAATAAAAATCAAGGTATATCAATGCGCATTCCTTTAAACATGAACCACATGAGAATTTTTTTTTTTCTTTCGAACATACCTTTGTGTTAACCGTCGCAGGACCATGCGCCAAAGAATAAAACTCTTTTAAAAAGTGTCTTAAAGAAGGTAATTCTAAAGTTGGTGCAATAATGATAACATGAGGTTGTTGTGAAATCTTTTTAAATGGCCTATCATAAACTGACTTTGAACGTATCAACGCGATCAATTCCGATATAGAATACTAAATAAGAAAGCATTAGAATTAAATTTTTTACAAAAAAAAAAGAGCCCTCATGCTCATAAATTAAACTT